CACCTCTTTTATTAACTATTCCAGCACGAGGGATAAACAGCCCTTCCTCTCCAATTGCTGTCTGTTGGCAGCGAAGCAATGATTTCAAGTGCCGTGAACCGCATTCCGCCTTGAGATAAAATTTAATTATTTAAGTGTTTAATCAGGCATTTACTTGGCTTCCCAATTAAACATTGCGATGCAATAAAATACATTGGCTTTTTCTCTGGGTCGTTACACTATTTAATCAGGCTGGCTGGGGTCAGAATCAAGGCATGACTGACCCAGGCACTTTTATACCTAATTTAAATGCTAACAGGAGGTAATAAAACTCTTGTAAGCAACGGGCAGGGCAGGGTTAGGATGTTGTGCTTTTCCTAAGCGGTTTTAGGCCAGCCATTCAACCTCTCCGTATTAATTACCTCCCTCATGTGTTACTTAAACTTTGTCTTTGATGCTTTGGGTAGGCATTGCTGGAAGAAGACAAAATTTGGGGCTGCTGGGGCTCCCCTAGGGAGTGACACCGCGTATCAGACACTCATTGCTAAGGATGCGTTTAGGACTTCCTGGGGTTTTAGGGGCCAGCACCTTATTTTAGTAATAACCTCTGGATAAAGACGCTGAGAGTTTGTATTATTTTAGGCTTCTAGCTACCTGTCAGCAATAGCAATTCAAACAGCCTTTTTCAGTTGAAAAAGGCTCCCCCCACCCTTTTTTTTGACCACACACTGGAAGGGAACCAGAGAAGAGAGCTCAGCTGATAGCTGGATTCTTTCTCAGGTTTGTATCTGCTGTGGGTCGTGAGTTGTTGACCTGTTTTGTTGTTATGTGCTTCGTTTGAATAGGTTTCATGTGCTACATTTAATTGAGTCTTTAGTGGGACTAACAGGCCCTTAATAAACCCTCCCTAATGAGTTTCTGTGTGGGAGTTCAAACCACCATGTAGCAGAGTACCCAGAGCCTCCTCCCATTACTTTTCTCTTAGAAAAATAATCTCTGTCATTCAGATGAACTACTTAATTGCCTACTGTGCGGCGCATTCATCTGGGAGCTGGCCCGTTGGCTTACACATGCTTTAATCGCTTTCCACTTGTGCATTGAGACCTCACTTTGGCCATTTGAATAACGCCGCTGTGTTCGGCTCTTTCTGTTTTACGTTGCGATCTAGCTGCCGTTTGATGCTGCTGATTGATAGAGAACAGCCTGCTTACGTCTCATTGCCAAATATTTTGGGAAGAGTTGTTGGTGGAGAGCGTTTGTAGTCAATCGTGGCGTTGCTCATAGCACAGCACCTCAGACCGGGTCCTTTGCATCGCAGCTGGGAGGTGCTGCAGCTTTCTGCTGATGCTACCCAGCACCCCAAACGAGCAGGCACCTGCAGTGAGATATAGTAATTCTGAGCTTAAGTTTAAGCCCCAAGTAACTGCAGAGGGTCAGCAGGTTGGAGCGATGATGGTCCTGCCGAGTTCACGTGCTTTTGTCACAGAGGAGGTCACGGATTCCCTTTGCGACATCTGCTGCAGCTGGTGCTGGCTTGGTGCTCCTGAGAAACGGGAGTGGGGGAAATGACTTCTGTTGTGCTTGCCGTGCAAATAGTGGTATGTGCCGAAAGGACAAGGGTTTCCACTCTTCATGTGCCTTTTTGCCCTCCCTCTCTGCAGGGGGTGTTAAACAGCACCAATGTGATGCTGAGTTGAGAAAGGAGATCTCGCTGGTTTGGCCCAATCTGTCCCAGAAGACTCTGGATTTGCTGGTGCCTCCTCACAAACGTAAGTGGTTCCTCAGCAAACACCCAACCCATCCCATCCGCCTAAGAGGTTTCTCCCTTCTTGCCTGCTCTGTCCCTAGCCCCACTGAGGTGCACAGTCATCTAGAGGATGCAGCAAAGAAAGCCAGTGCAGTTCAGCTTCCAGGTGTCCTCTGCAGGGTTCCCAGCCTGCACCTCCTTGCCATGGTCACATAAGGAGTAGGGAAGCTGAGGTCACATCGAGGCATGCATTGTATTATGCTACGGTAGATTTCCTGTACTTAGAAAGAAAACCCAACAGTTCCAAGAAGGGACCGATGCCCTGTGGCCTCTTCCAGAGCTTTTTCACAGCTTTGTCTGCCTCCAGCCTGTGCCTTACAGGATGGGAGAGCAATTTCTACCTTCTGGGCTCCAGAAAACCAGGAGAAGAAAATCAAAGTTTGCTGAGAACTTCCAGAATCAGAAGTGAGGTATTTTGGGGCTAAAGGCCTTTGTGTTACTTGACGATGTCCCAGGCAAATGTGCTGAGGAAATGGAAAGTTTGCCATTAGCTTGATTGGCCAAGACAAGGACTCTGGATTCCTTATTAATGAGAAACAGTGCAGAACAATAAAGACATTGTTAATTAAGAAAAATGAAGGAGCTGAGGAAGTGCGAATCAGTGGGTAGTGACTGCTTCAGTCTTTTCCTCCCCTCCTCTTTTGATGCCTATGTATCTGCTGCTTTAACTCTTTGCTCTACACTAAGTGCTCAGCTGCTGTGAGGGTGAAAAAAGACATCTGGAAAAATGGAATACTCTTTATATGCATGCTAGCCCAGTATGCCCCAGTTGACTGTAATTCAAAGAAATAGGAATAAGGCTTCTTTGTTGATAAAAAGCTGGCTGTGGATCTGGTATTAATTTAGCAATTCTTCCGTCAGGAATGCTTACAATGCCACAGAGTTTTCCTGCCTGTTTTTTTTTTCTACACGGTGTCTGTGAATGTTTGCCACAGAGAGCTAGAGACAGGGACCGTCCCCCTCAGATGTGAAAGCCAGCAACAGGAAAAGATCTGAGGAAGTCTGTTGTAACCTTTTTCTTGGTCTTTTTTTCTTTCCCCTGCTCTTCTGTGTCTGTTTTGTCTCGTTATTCTAACGTCACCTTGTCTATCTCCTTGTTTATCATGCCCAATTTTTCTTATTTCTTGTGCCCTTTGACTTACTCTTGTCTTTTCCTGATCTTTTCCTGTTCCTCACCTGAACATCTCTGCTGCATTTCACCATCCTGACAGCCGATGAGATGACTGTGGGGAAGGTCTACGCAGCGCTGATGATATTTGACTTCTACAAGCAGAATAAGAACAGCAGGGAACAAGTCCACCAGCCTCCCGGAGGCCTGTGCCAGGTATTCAGTCAAAAGGTGTCCTTCTCAGTCCTCCCTCTTGGGCAGCTTCTCCTCCAGCGTTGGGCAGCTCTCACAAGAGCCACTAGCACATTTCATCCAGAAAGTCTGGATGCTTCTCCAGGCAGGATATGAAAATGCCATCTCAAAAATAGAAACTTCTCCTGAAAGTCTCTCTCTCTCTCTCTCTCTCTCTCTCTCTCTCAAAAATTAAAGATAAAAAAAAAAAATGGTGCAGCTGCCTTTTCCAGTAGGTCTGGAAAGATCTTTTCCAAAAAATGTCAAGTGACTTGGCAATCTAAGTCCTATTTTCAGAAGTGGCCTGAGGACTGGGGAACCCCGAAAGGTTTCTTTGGGACACCAAAGAATTATTGAAAGCTGATGATAGTTTGGCTCTGAAATGTTTAAGTTACTTTTGAAAATGGGAATTATTCAAAATCGTTTCGAATCTAATAGATTTTAAGGTTTTTTTCAATTTCTTGAAAATACTTCCATGCAACTGGCTTGGGATTGAAACCTCAATGATTTCTGATCGGACAAGTACCTACCTGATTTCAGGATGATCATCCAGCTGAAGCCCAGCGTGGCCTGTCGGTCTGTCTTGCAGATGGAAGGCTAGAGCAGACCCGGTGTTGCGATGGGCCACCGGAATTGCACAGCCCCTTTGGCCGCATTGGTGTGTGAAATCCTTGCTGCGCTGGGGTGGCCGGGGGAATGTCTTGTTAGAGGGAAGGGGGATTGCAGCACAGCTTTGGCTTGAGCAAAGCTGAGGGCAGCAAGTGTCCTCTTACAGCTATGGGAGGGCTAGGTGTGCTTTCTGCTGGGCTGACCTTTCAGGGTGACGAAGTGGACAGTTTATTACCTAGAAGATGTACTGCAATCCGTCTTCTCCACATGCAGCTCTGTCTCTGACAACCTTTCCTTGTGCTTCGCAGCCTGGACCGGTGTCACTCTTTCACCCCCTGAAGGCCACTTTGGAGCAAACCCAGCCCACGGCGTTCAACAACGCGAAGGCGTTCTTTCGCCAGAAAAGCTCGGCCTCGCTCAACAACGGGGGTGCCTTGTGAGTATTCCGTGCCCTCCCCACCAAAGCCGTAACGCAGAGAGGGGACCCACTGGATGTACACATCAACCCCAACCACTGCTGGTTCAGTTGCTCTGGAGGTGGAGCAGCACAGCTGGTGACACCAAGACCAGCAGCCCCTTCACAGCCATGGCTGGGACAATTTCCCACTGGTGGCTACCAAAATGCCTCCGTGTAGCTCTGCTTCCCACTGCTGCCTGAGGTGCAGGTATCCATGTGTTGGGCTCTCCAGAGCTGCATGTTTTCTTAATGGTCTCCTCTGCATCTTAATTATAGAGCTTTCCATTGTGGTTAGTTTTAAGTGTGAGCTTATTTACGGGAATTTGGGATCATTGCAAAACAACCAAGCAAATGCCAACCCACCAACCACCAATACAGTGAGCTCTTGGGAGCAAAAAGGTCCTTGGGAACAAAGAAGTCCCTCAAGCTCACAGTGCTTGGTAGCAGCAAGAGCTTCTTGAGACTTCCCAGGACAGAATCTGGCTCCTTCTCTTTGGGCAAAATAATACCTCCACAGAGAGCTTACCAAACAGTTATAGTAACAGTGATCCCAAATCAACTCTCCATTTCCTGCTCTTCTTCAGGTGACTTTCCTCTGAGTCACAAGTGCTATGGATTTTTAGTGATAGACATCTGAGGTTTAAATATCTTGAATAAGCCTGATAGGGAAACCAACATCAGACTCAACAGTTATACCCAAGGCCACTGTACATTCAGTGAACGTACTTTAGTGTTTGTTCGACCAATGTCATTTAGGGGTATTCATCTAACTAGTCTTGCATACATAATTTGCCTGAACTCCAAAAATTCTTCATCTCTCTTCACCAGAACTTAAGCTGCAGAAGTTTGTTTTCCTTAGTCAGTGAAAAAAAAATATGTGCTGGTTGGTTTGATTTCCTTGCTGCTTATGGGATCTTCAGGCTATATAGAAAGTGTCTGTGGCAAAACCCAGGGGACCGTATAGCTTCACCAGCAGCTGTGCCTATCCTGCAACTAGTTTCACAAGTGAAACCTCAAAGGGTATCTGAGTGGTTTATCTTCATTGCAAAAAGTTCAGCAAAATCTCCTTTTTCCACTTTTCCTTCTGACAGGCCAGCCCCAGAGGGTGGGATCAAAGAATCCAGTTCTTGGGGGACCCAACGCACCCAGGACATGTTTTATGAAACCAGAACACCAGCTTTTGAACGAGGCCACTCAGAAGAAATCCCCATTGAACGGGTGAGCAAACAGGTGAAGACAGGGTGAAATGCAGTAGATTTTAACAGATATCAAGCTAGACACTTTCCTGAGAGCTGAAGCACCCTTCTGAACCTTGAGAAAAGCGTTGTTCTCTCTTACAACCCAAAGTTTGCTTGAATGCTATGGAGAAAAACCAAACCCGACGGCTTCTACGGTCTGATAGCTGTATGTGTGGGTGCGCTTTTCCTGGCAGAATTATCTGCCTGCTCTGATAGCTGACTTAGGATTATCTCTTCCATTGTCCCAATGCCATTGTCATCAGCGTACAAACTCAGACGAGAGGTCGCATAGGTCAGAGCTGGGGCTCATTGCCATGGCTAGTGGAAGAGCTTGGGCCGCTCTTGCCCTAGCTGAAGACAGCACTGTAGCTAGAGTAACCTGAGCACTCCACAGTTCTTCGTTTACTCTTTCTCCTCCCAACTTCTCTTCGCAATTAAGTCCAACCTGGCAGAAGCCTGCTCAGATGACAGCTTCAAAGCTGATGTTCACATTCTTGCTACTGAAACCATTTCTTGTTTCGATCAGGTGGTAGAAATGAGGGAAATCAGCCCCACACTTGCCAACGGAGAGCACCAACCAGGCCTGGAGAGCCAGGGGCGGGCGGAAACTCAGGTGAGTGAGGAGGCTTTACTGACAGTGGGAGATTGAGGGTGGGTCAAGAATTCAGTATCTTCTCTCTGCTTGCAATCTTGTTGGAAGCTACTTGCTTTAAAACATGTTTGCTGAACCTGGAGAGAGGTAACCAGCCTTTGTGCTTGGATGACAGGTATTCATGTGTAGACACAGCCTGTCCCCCATTTTACTGCTCTCTGGTTGCAGCAAAAAGCAACCCAGAGCAATCCCTCTCTCTGGGTAGCGAACTGACGACTACCCACCCAAGAGTGTCTGCTCTGCTTAGCTGGGGACAGTACTGTCTGCCAGCCTGTATTCCTGGAAGGGTGTAATTTTCCCACTGACGGTGGCATGCCTTCTATCTAGACTGACAGTCAAGGCATGCTCCTGTGCCCTAGCCATAAAAAAAGCCGGAGATGCGCTGCGATTCTCTTTGATGAACATAGTAAGCACAGAAAATACCAGGGAGCCTGTGCCTGGAAGGCTGCATTGAGACGCGAACGCAGCCTCCCTGTTTTTTTTTTTCTCTTCCCATAGTATTTAGCACACGCTGTATTGTGACTTTGGTCAGAAAAATGTTGTTGAGGATTTCCCTTGTTTAACTTCTTGTAAGGAAATCTCATCATTAGAGTTGGCTTTTACAGCAGCTTGCGGACGCTACCTAGTGCATAGGATGTCATGGTTTTCACAGATCGTTTTTGGGCACGTCACATGTTCATTGCCAGCGTGTTGTCCCAGATGCTCTCCAACCACCCTCCTCCCTCCTGTGTGTCAGAACATCTCACCGCTCATAGCCACGTCTCTCATTCAA